GACTCATTAGGACCAGCTAATTTAAGGATGGGCAGACTTCAGACTTGAAGGATCTGTTTATTACTAGAAACCCAACTTGAACTGAAATCAACAGATCACTTACTGTCGGTTTCAGTAGATTATCAAACATGAGGAGAAATACTTAACTTAAAAAGATAGAATAATAAATCCAGCCAACTACAAATAACCCAGAAATCTTATCATTAGATTCAGATTTACCTTCTGCCCACCACTGATATATTCCAAAGACAACCAATGTATTAATGCGCAACTTGAACAATTTCTAAAATTAAGTTGTTCTCTTTGCTCCAAATAGCTCCATGATTCTCTCAAGGATACTCAATCTCATGTGTCCATTAGCCTGTCCTAGGATGTTTTTTCACTTTCACTGTGTTATTGTTGTTTTAAAAATAGAACTAGAAAATGTTAAAGAAATCAACATCTCTTTATTTGTTTTCAGCATTTTCTTCCTCAAACTGACTTACAATTTTAAAACCTTCCCATTCAGTCTATGCAGATCTCCAGAAATGTACAAGATTATTCAGTATTGCCACTCCAGAGAAAGAAAGGGGAAAACATTGTGTTATGTATGAACATCAAAGTAAACTTGTAGGAGATGGGAGAACAAATAACAGATGAGGAAAGGAGATGGGAAGGAAAATAAAGGAGAAAAAGGAAGGAAGTTGAAAAAAGCTACAATTATACAGTACTTGGGGGGGAAAGATGAAGTTAAATAAGAAAATACATGAATGCAAATTGCAAAAATTACTCTGAGAGAAACAAAAAGCATATAAAAATGAGCTAGGGATAATGAGAATGAGAGCAAGGGGGGAAAGCAAACAGTATGAGAAAATTAAAAATATTGAACAGGCATGTTGAAGAATATTTTCACTTTCAACAACTTATCCTGGAATTGTATCTGATCTATAGAGTTTAAGTCTGTATTAAAGTCCCTCATTTTTCAAGTCTAACAATACAGCAACAGCAAGCTCTCATTTTACCCAAAAACTTGCATCCATATTTTCTAAGGCTTACACAATGGTTGATATCTTCAAAAGGCCTCTGCACACCCACATACACCAAATCTTTCCTCTTTACGAGACGTGAAATCTATGGAGAGCAAAACCTATGCGCTCACATCCTCCTATCCATTTTTTTCAAAACTTTTTCCAGGCAAAGTACTTCTTTTAAAAAAACACAAGTTATTCAACGGAACAGATGGACATCATGCTCAAAACGCACGAGTGGCCGCTTTGATTTCATGGTGTCTCACCCAGGTTAGTAAAAGCATTCATCCAGTTGAGGAAATGTGATTATCCTGTCATAATTATCAAGGAACTGTGCATGATGGGAGAGTTAAGCCAGAAAGGAGACAAAAAGCCCCTTAAAAAGCACAGTTAGTATTCAATATTTTCACTCGAAAGCCAGTTTTGCAGTTATGGAGCTCAGTTCTTATGGAGCTCAGTTCTATTGGTAATCCTAACTAGAGTAGACCCATTGAACAATCTTATGTGTTGAATCACCATCCAAAAACCGAACCTATTTTAGTTGAGACTCATCAACAAAATTCCAGACATTGTCTGCCATTTCCATGTACGGTCCGACAAAATGTTGATTAAGTGAAAATTCTAAATAATAAGGAAGGATTATGGAAAACATCAAATTATATTATGATTTTACAAATTAAGCACCAAAACATCATGTTTTACAAGAAAACGACAGAAAGATCAGTTCAATACATGGTAACGTTATGTAGTAATTACTGTATACAAATTTTGCACCAAAACATCGCAATGTCTTGGAACAGCTGTGGATCCGGATGAGAGGCAGACCGTGTTGGATAATACAGAACGTTGGATGAGCGAAGGTTTGAAAAGCGAGACTCTACTGTACACTTACGTGGGAGTAAGACTCATTGAAAACTACTGGCACATAATACGCAGACTGATTTCAGCTTCCCTTCAATAGGCCTATATATTTATTTATTTTTTAAAAAAAAGCTCAATTCTGTATTTTCTTATGTTTTACTTGCTTGCTGTGCCCATGAAATGTTTGTCCCTTTTAACAACATCAGCCTAAAACATTTTAAAGCCGAATGTATAAATCGGAATATTCCAGCATGAGAAATTCGTTGCCAAAGGAGGATGGCTTGCCCCCTGCCTTATCAGTTTTCCATTACCAACTTGAAGAATTCTTCCATTGATCCTTTGAAGTGTTTGCTGCATTGAATTGTTTTATTTAAATCTGACTTTTTGTTTCATAAATATTTCATCATTTCAGTATACTGCTGCTGTGTTTATGGCTTAGGTCGGCTTTTCACTGTTTGTTTGTTTGTTTGTTTGTTTGGCCTTCTCTGTTTGTTTGTGTGTTTAGTCACTATGGATGTCTCAGTTTTCAAACAGGAAAAACCAAAATATAAATAAACCTCATGCTGTATGGCTACTGAATGCTGGTTCAGGATAACACACTGTTCAGTTCCATAGGAGATTATATAACACAAGTTGAGTATCTTTTATCCAAAATACTTGGGACTACAAGCATTGTGGATTTTTTTTTTAAAAAAAACTACTTCTTGTTGCATATATGTACATAATGAGATACCTTGGAGATGGAACTCAAATTTAAACACAAAAGTAATTTATGTTTCTTATACACATAGCCTAGAAGGAATATTATATGATATTTTATAAAAATGTTGTGAACAAAACAAAGTTTGTATACACTGCATCATCAGAAAGCAAAGGTCTTTGCCAACTACACTGGATTTTGGAGCACTTGGATTTCGGAATACTGGATAAAGACTGTTCAATCTTTACGCATTATTCCAGGTTTTTCCCCCCACTTCTCGGCTATTTAATGCTGGCAACCATTATAATTTCCAAGCCTACGATCACATGAGACACTATCCAGCACATCTAAAAGAATCAGGGACATTGTTCCTGGATTAAGTCAACACATTGTTCCTGCTTTGGAATTTGACAACATGATTTTCAGAGCCATAACAAGCATCAAACACAATGAAATTAAAAACAAAAGAGCTACTTCTGAATTCCAGTTTATGTGAATTCTAACAGGAAAATGGTCTGAATTGCATGATAATTATTATTTTTATGGCTTGCCCCAACAAAGAAGAACATCTGCAGAAGTAAACCACACAACAAAATGCCATGCATACTATCTGTTGCTTAATGAAATCATTGTTGCTTCTCATTTGAATTCTCTGAAATAACACTGTTATATTATATTAAAGATCAGGACTTTTATGGCATTCCAACAAAAACCCACTGTAGCACCATTAGACACAGGATGTATCGCAACATATGTATGATTTATCAGGCCACAGGGAATGTCTGCTGGAAATGTAAACCTATTCATACGTACAGTACACACTAAACAGGAGGCGTGCTGGTGAACTTCAGTTTAATGTGAACAGTCTAATTTGGCATCAAATTGTCATTTATTTGCACTTTAAATCACAAGAACAATACTAAACTAAAATTGGAGCTTTCGTCCTTTTATTGTCCATCTCCCCTGCTGCTGCCACCACCTGCAGACATTTGTACTATCTGCATACATTTGTCAGATACAGTAATGCCCATACTAAGGCAACGCAGGCCTGGAGTTGGCAGCTATACTATCAGCAAGAACTTGGCAAAAGAACTGATGATGATTCATCAAACTTTCGAGAAGCACCATCAAAGCTGCAGAGCAACGCATTGCCTTTTAATCCTTTCCATATAACTTTTTTTGTTATAGATGAGAAATTCACAATCTAGTTTTCCAAATAGAAAAAAAAAAACCTTGTTTTGTTTTAACACAGTTTAACACTGATTACTTATTCTGAAACACAGTTTTGTTCAGCACCAAAGTCAAGACTGGTAAGTAACAATCTGCAGTGTACAAGAATAGCTCAAATTACAAGACAAGCCAGCACACTTGGATTTACAAAATTACTTGGGAAAGACTTAAACTGAAATCAGTGAAACCTGCGTGACGTTTAAGATATGTCTGCCTTAATACACTTACCTCCATGGAACTAATGCTGCAACCCTATGTATGTAAATGATACTAAAAAGTACAGCCTAGTGTTGAGCAAGACACATTAGTGGGTATTTTTTATTTATTGTGTCAGAAACAAATTTAGAGTACAGTTATAATGTATAGAAAAACCTAAAGTTAAAAACTTGGCATTATACTAAATTTCCTTTGAGCAGAAGCTGGCCACTTTGAGTGTCTCTGGTGTTACTAGTGGGTAAACTAGTGAGTAAATGAAACATGCATAGGACTACACTGTTCACTACTTCTGGGCTGCCTATGGCTAAAACCAATAATGGCAAACAAGACAACTCGGTGTAGATGCGGCAATGCTATTCTTTAGAAAAGGAAACTGAACCAAAGCAAAAGAAAATGACAATGATATCTGAGTGCCAAAACAATACAGTCATACGCCCATACGGCAAACTCTCCTTTCCACCAGTGCTTGCGTCAAAACTGAAGGTACAATACACCAAGTGCAGCTCGCTTGTTTTGCTTTGATCATGACACTTGCGTTTTATGGGACACAAAGAGAGGCAGCAATAGATAGTTCCCTAGTTAGGTAACGTCTGAAGTTAATGATTTCTTTCCGTTTTGTAACTTTCAATCTATCTACTGACTCCGTTTTCCATTTCTGTGACACACACAATGTCTAGCCTTCCTGTCCAACTCAAAAAACTTTAAAATTACACGAATAAGGAGACAGTAGAAAATGGCAAATTGTGTTAATGTGTTTCCTATAAAATTTGTCTCCAATTTTCACCCTTCGCTCCCAAGTCAGCACAAGGCATGCAGTTCTATTCAGTCGTATTACAGGAATCTTGCGAGACAACATCATCCTCCACAAAGCAAATACTTTTTAAAACATAGTAACAAGCTGTGCAGTTTCCCAGTTGATTAAAACTTTCCCTCTTGAACCTCTCAATCCCCATTATATAGAAAAGATGCTTCCAAGGAGCCCCTACCTTTTGGAAAGTGCCTTCCTCACGCCGCTTTTTCCTTTGGCCGCTTTTCCTGGCTCTCTGATTTACTCGAACCCATGTTACGACCTACAGGTCAAAACCATAGGGCTGTTTTAAGAAGACGCAACCTGAGTGCAACTACTCAACATGCGTAAGAAACTATAAACAGACTCAAGGCACATTTTTCCATTGCTTCAGTGGAAAAGGAAAAGAAGGGGGGAGTCCTTTTTCCAGCCTGCAATAGTGCGCTTTTTTAGTAATCCATGTAGCTGTTTGTGCCTGTCCAAAAGACATCCTGCCTATGATTCCCCTTAAGGCAGAAAAAACCCCTGCTTGCTTCTTAAGCCTAAGCAAGAGCAAACTTTTTGAAAGATGAAGAAAAACTTGGCTGCATCAAAACAGTGTGGGAAACTGTGCTACCCTGTCACCTTTGGAACAATAAGACTAATAAGACTTTGGATTGTTGTGAGTTTTCCACACTGTATGGCCATGTTCCAGAAGCATTCTCTCCTGATGTTTTGCCTACATCTATGGCAGGCATCCTCAGACCTCACAACTTCCGAGTATGCCTGCCATAGGTGCAAGTGAAAAATCAGGAGAGAATGCTTCTGGAACATGGCTGACAGCCTAGAAAACTCACAACAACCCAGTGATTCTAGCCATGAAAGCCTTTGACAATACTAATAAGACTTTATTTGGATTCCACCCTATCTCCTCAGAGCTCCACTGACTTCAATGGGGGGTTCTTACAAGTCTTCAAGTCTGGGTGCAACAACAACAATAACAGTAGTAGTAGTAGTAGTAGTAGCAGCATAAGAAGATGAAGAGCCCCTTCCTTCTTCACACCTTCAGCCTCAAGCAACAGATTGGCTTGCAATAAAAGGATTGCCCTTAATCCCAACTGAACAGTTGATTTCCCCCTTTTAGGCACAGAATAGAAACGGGTTGAACTTGACCAACTAAAGAAGGGTGAAAACTAGTCATTCCTGTAGATAGAAGAAAAGGAGAGGAAAAAGAAGAAGAAGAAAGTCTGGGTTGTTGTAAGTTTTTCAGGCTGTCTGGCCATGTTCCAGAAGCATTCTCTCCTGATGGTTTCGCTGCATCTATGGCAGGCATCCTCAGAGGTTGTGAAGTCTCAGAGTGCAGGCGAAACGTCAGGAGAGAATGCTTCTGGAACATGGCCAGATAGCCCGAAAAACTTAACAACAACCCAATGATTCCGGCCATGAAAGCCTTCGACAATACAGAAAAAAAAAGTCAGGTTACCTCTTCCTTGACTTGCCGGGCTAAGCGACACTCTTGCCACGCTTGACTCTCTTCCAGCAAAGGCTAGGTGGAGGGGGAAAGACAAAAAGTTACAAGTTGACTGGGAGTTTTTTTGATTCGTTTGTCGCTATGTCCCAGTCAGTCCCTGGGGAGGGTGGCATCCTCTCTCTCTCTCTCTCTCTCTCTCTTTTTCGCTCGGGGACACCAAGTTGGGCAGGAAAAAAACAAATCAAGCCCAAAGGCGACTCACTTTCTTTGCGCACTCTTCTCCGCGTCCTCATCTTTCTCCTTCCTTCTCCTCTGGGCGTTTGCAAAGGGAAGAGAAGGGGAGGAGAGGGGGGTCGAGAGAGGAGACCCTTCCCAAGCATCCAGACCTCTCCCTACCTCGCTTTGCCTTCCCGCAAACTCTTGCCGGGCGCCCAGGCGGCGGGCTGTTGGGGCGCTGGCCCCTTTCTGGAGGCATCTCCAGGGCTTGGCAAAGGGCAGCGTTGCCGCTCCAGGGACCTCCTTGGGAAGAGAAACACCTCCGAGAGAGAGAGAGAGAGGGATTGAGAGAGAGGAGGAGGAAGGAGGGAGGCAGGGATGGGGACCCCTCTCCTCCTCCTCCTCCTCCTCTCTTTCCCTCTCCAGCCTGCGAGATCAGAGGAGAGGAGGAGCTTGCCTGAAGGGGAGGCACGCAGCCCTGCCGGCTTTGTTCGCCCATCGCCCAAAGGGACCTCAGAGAGAGGGAGGGAAGAGGAGATGCCACCCTTGGGATCACCCAAAGGGACCTCTATAACAAGCCCTCCCCACACACACACCCCAGGACTCGGATCCCCGGTTCAACTGGCCCTGCAGCCAATGCTTGCATTGAAAAGTCACTGAGAGCCAACTTGATGTAGGAATCATACAGTCCTACAGATGGAAGAGACTTTGTGGGCCATCCAGTCCAACCCCCTGCCAAGAAGCAGGAAAACCGCATTCAAAGCACCCCTGACAGATGGCCATCCAGCCTCTGCTTAAAAACCTCCAAAGAAAGAGCCCCCACCACACTCTTACCTGCTGAACAGGTTGACCAGAGGAGGGCAACTAAAATGATCAAGGGCATGGAGAACAAGCCCTATGAGGAGTGACTTAAAGAGCTGGGCATGTTTAGCCTGAAGAAGAGAAGGCTGAGAGGAGACATGATAGCCATGTATAAATATGTATGGGGAAGTCATAGGGAGGAGGGAGCAGATTTGCTTTCTTCTGCTCTGGAGACTAGGAAGAGGAACAATGGCTGCAAACTACAGGAAAGGAGATTCCACCTGAACGTTAGGAAGGACTTCCTAACTGTGAGAGCTGTACAGCAGTGGAACTCTCTGCCCTGGAGTGTGGTGGAGGCTCTTTTAGAAACTTTTAAGCAGAGGCTGGATGGCCATCTGTCAGGGTTGCTTTGAATGCAATTTTCTTGCTTCTTGGCAGGGGGTTGGACTGGATGGGCCACAAGGACTCATCCAACTCTTTGGTTCTATTGAACAGCAAGAAGCATCCACACAAGATTTTGAGATCCAGCATGGTTTGAGACTTGGAGTGGGGCACCCATCTGGAAACCCACTGGGTGTTCTTTGGCATTCTCTCTCAGCCTCAGAGGACGGGAAGGGCACACCACCTCTGGCAAGAAGACCCTATGATAGGGTCGCCTTAACAAAAAATATAATATATTTTATGTATAACCCACCCTATCTTCCAGGGGGACTCAGGGCAGTTTCCAGCAATGTCACAAATTGGCAAACTTTCAATGCCAAAACAAACAAGTTGTAAATAAATCAAATACAATCAATGTAAACTATATAAAACAGAGCAAAGCATAGAAAAATTAAAACATTGATAGGGGCTGTGGGACTTTGAGTCAGAAAGGACTTGAAGGAACACAACATTAACACAGAAAAAAACTTCACACTTGCTTTTGAGAGCCAGCAAGAGCAAGTCACACTTTCTCAGATGCAGAGGAAGGGAATGGCAAACCCCCTTCAGAACAAATCGTGCCAAGGAGAATGTAGTGCCTGGCGTGAAGCTTAAAGTGCCAACATGGTATCATGATTTGAGTGTTTGACTCTGGAACCCAGGCTTCAAATTCCCACTCAGTCGTGGAACTCACTGAGCGACCTTGGGCAAGCCACACTTTTCCAGCCTCTGAGGAAAGCAAAGGCAAAACTATTCTGAACAATTCATACCAAGAAGAACCTATGATAGGGTCACCCTAAGTTGGAAACAAAGCTTTTGAGAGCCAGCATGGTTTGAGTATTGGACTACGGCATTAGAAAACCAGGGCTCAAATAGCCTGGAAAGCCATGGGCAAATCACTCATTCTCAGCTTCAGAAGAAGATAAAGGCAAAACTCTTCTGAACAAGTCCCCCCCCACAAAAAAACCCCACACCCTGTGTATTTTGTCTTAAGATTGGCGTAAGTTGGAAATGAGTTGAAGACAAGGGTACAATTTTGGCTTCAAAGCCTGGTAGGCCATTCCTGGTACATTTGCTCAGAGGAGTTTCTAAGCATTTGCCTCCAAAGCCTGTCCTGAGAGCACCAATACGCTGAATTCAGTTCAGACATCCCGATTTATGTGATATCTGATATGGCAAGACATGCATATTCATATGTTTATAGAAAAACACTCATTTGCCTATAAATATCCTTAAACCAACTAAATGCCAAAAATAGATAGTGAAAGAAGGGGGACAGAAGCAACGGCAACGCAGAAATCTAAGCTATTTAGTTTTTACAAAGAGTTCCATTTTCTTTTAGAAGATAATTGTAATGCACTTTCCACACCATCCACTTATCTCTGGTCCTCTTTCTAAGCCGAAGTATTTTAGGCAAACTTTCTAATGGAGCTATCTCTGGAAATATATTACAATGCAAATAAGAATTTGAAACACCCCTCCACCCCCATCCCTAACAGCTTCTTGACCTCTGTGGAATCCAAAACTGTATCAGATGAGTCCCAGGGAGGTTCTGAAGTGCATCTTAAAAGCAAGCATTAAGTTTGCTTTTTGCAACTGGAATCTTGCCATTTCTATTAGTCATGGGCATTTTGCAGCTGACTCCTCCATCAAGTCTCAGCACAAGCAAAGCCTCTGCTTTTGCTTTAGAGCTACAATCTGAGACACCCTTCCTTGCGAGTAAATCCCCCTGAACTCTGTGTTCTGGAGAAAGTCAACATACCAGGGATTAGGAAACTTGAATGAAAACGTTATGGTTACTTTCTTGCTGAACGGATGGTTTGGAAGATGTCAGACAAATAGCATTCGCAACCAAGAGCTGAACTTTTTAAAAAACCCTGATACTTTGGGGTAAAACTTTCAAAATTTCCAGTTTGCAAATGCAGAGAAGAACATAACATCATCATAGCATTCGGCACACTTATATTTGTTTAATGGACAATTATGTATTTGCAAATGCACATGCTTTTTCAGGGGGGGGGGGGGCTCACTGTTTTGTTTATGAATTCCTTGAAAGGTTAAAGAGAAATCTATGCTACTAAAAAAAATGATGCTATATCAAAGCTGGTTTTGTCCAAGACAGACTTAGGTTCATTTGCAAACAGATGCCACATTGGAAATGTATGTCAAATGAGTGCTCACTAAATCTTGACCACCTCTTTAACTTTACTGCTTGGGTTTTTACAAAGACACTGTCCTGCCCTTTTCTTTATTACCACAATAACCTTCTTTCAAGATCAAAAGCTTTAGATCAAAGCCAAGATCAAACTCCTTGCTTTAAATAGAAACAACAGTGCCATGAAGGATATTACTCCAGGAATTATATCTTAATGGAGGTACCACACTAGAGGGAGAAAAAAAATCTTATTTCAGATATTTTATTATAACATTTGTGATACAACACTAAGTATGAATGCTGTGACATCCATGGGCAAAGGGCTAGGAAGGGAGTGGGGGAGTCAATATCCACAGGAAAGGACATTGCTAGGTATTGGCTTGACACAAGTGTAATTGACACCAAAGGACATGGTTTTATAACTGCTACACTGAGAGATAGTGTTATCTGTGTCCATTTAGGCTCTGTATTGTCAGCATTTTAAATTATGCTTCCATCTTAAATATTTGGGTGTCACTTTAGATCGAACACTAACATTTAGGAAACACTGTATGAATACCAAGCACAAAGTAGCTGCACGCAATAACATCCTACGGAAACTTACTGGCAGCGCAATGGGCTGCAGACCCAAAATTAATAAGACCATCAGCCTTGGCCTTGTCTAACTCAACAGCTGAGTATTCCCAGCTCTGTTTGGCACAAGTCTGTCCATGCGAAGCAGATGAATATAGCATTGAGTGAAACATGCAGAATAATCACAGGATGTCTTAAACCTATACCTGTTGATAGACTCAGTAACCTAGCTGGCATTGCTCTCCTGTCCCCTGATGTGCGATGGAAAGTTGCTGCTAACTGTGAGAGAAATAAAGTTGAACAGCATGAAAGCCATCCACTGCATGGCTATCAGTCTCCTCCCAGTAGACTCAAATCAAGGAAAAGCTTCATGTGAACCACCACCCCTCTTAATATTCCCCCAGCAACAGCAAGACTATCCCTCTGGGCAGCTACACCAGGAAATCCCAATTGGATGCCGCCACCCCCCCCCGAGGGTCTACCTCCAGGGACAAACCAAAAATGAGCAACTTGAAACTCCCTGAACAGACTCAGAAGTGGAGTGGGCAGATCAAAAGACAACCTGGCAAAATGGCACTACCTAAAAGAATCCTCCACCTTGTGTGACTGTGCAGCAGAACAAACAACTCCACACCTGCATGCTTGTCCACAATGCCCTGCCTCGTGCACAGAGGAAGAATTATTTAAAACTACAGACAATGGTCAAAAATTGCTTAGCTTCGTGTACTCCATTTATTTTATCAGGTTTTATTGAGCCCTCAGTGGTGCAATGGGTTAAATCCTTGTGCTAGCAGGACTGAATACCAACAGGTCACAGGTTTGAATCCGGGGAGAGCGCAGATGAGCTCCCTCTGTCAGCTCCTGCTCCCCATGCGGGGACATTAGAAAAGCCTCCCACAAGGATGGTAAA